CTAATCAGCGATGCGAATAAGCTAACAGGAGACGTGGTGTGCTTTAACGGTGTAGCGTTTCGAAAACAGAAGATAAGCCGGTTTATTGGTTGTAAACGCAGTGAACTCTTGACTCGGAGTCCAGTGTGTGTCCCTGACGGATGGTGCCGGACTCCAGCGTTCGGATCGGCGTGTTTACGGGACTGAGGAAACTGGCTTTCAGGAAGAGGAGAAAATAACTCTGTGTGAGAGAGAGAGAGGACATCTCCAGTGTTTCACTCCGCTTCCTCAGTCTCCATGATCACCACTAAACACACACACACACACACACTGGCTGTGTTTACAGGCGATAGTAAAGCAGGACTAGTTCACTCGTCATCAGTTAATGTTGAGTTGTGTTGTGACATCAGTAGTTTGGTAATGAACAATACTGTCCTTCATGTTACCTCATTTCCACACCAAACAGGAGGACCAATGAGAGTCCGGCTGTAAAATCCAGGCGCATGTTCACCCTGTGTTGTGTATTTATATATCAATACACAAGTATCAGTATATTTGTTAGCAAAAGTCTAATAGATGATGCAGAAGTGTTTTTTACTATTATCTAGGGCTGCAACAACCAACCCAGACAGCAAACTGACATTGAATCAACGTGGAAACGACGTCTCTCATGACATTGAAACAACGTTGATTTTGCTCATCGAATTAACGTTGAACCAACGTCAGACGCGGCATTCTTCAAAGCTAAATGAAAATCGAAAATTGGTTTGCTTTCATAACGTTGAAACAACGTTGATTTCAAGTTGATTTTCCGCTAGTTTTGAAAGAATGCCGCGTCTGACGTTGGTTCAACGTTAATTCGATGAGCAAAATCAACGTTGTTTCGATGTCATATTTCCACGTTGATTCAATGTCAGTTTGCTATCTGGGAATCGATTAAATCGATTAAAATCGATTTCTGAAAGAGTTGGCAACGAATTACATTATCGATTCGTTGCGACGCGGAAATGTTTGAGTATAAAAAAAAAGTTTGAGTTGAGCGCGGAGCACTCTCAGTCTCTCTCACGCACTGTCGCTCAATCGCGGAGTTCGCATTTGTCAAACGAGAGAGAGCGAGTGTGTCCGTGATGATCGCGAGAGAGAGGTCTATTTATTTACAAAAGAATTAAAAAGAACATAAATTTTTCATATCAACACATTTTCCAGAGTTAGATCTGAATAATCTGAGGGTAGGATTTAAATTTTTCTTTAAAAAACTTTTTCAAACACAGATACACTTAAACATACAATTTCAAAAAGCCATCTTCGTCAACATCACAAATGCATTGATTTATTCCCCATTTATATCTAAACATTTCCATGTCTCTGACCAATTCATAGAAAGTAAATTCAATTTGAATGCGAGATTTAAATAATTTAATAATAATTTAAGAGAGAGAGACCGTGATCGAGACCGAGTGTGTCTGACTCTGAGCATTAGTAATTTGGTAGGTCTACATACATACTAGACATTCTCTGATACTATAGTGATAATTAGGCATGTTATATAAGATATAAATAAAAACAACAATTAAATTCTTACCACTGAATTAGCAGACTGTGATCAGATAGACACTTTCTTGTCTGTCCACTACAAAGGGGAATATTTTTTCCACAATTTGCAGCACTGAATTGTTCAATCTTTAATGACTCAGAGAAACTTCACTATATGCTCGGAAAGGATGAGCTGAAAAATACCTTACACCATAGGAGATGGTCAATCCATTGTATTTGTATTTTATATTCATTGTATTTATAATTAATATTAGGATAGACTAGAGATATTATCTTCTGATATAATTATTATTATTATTACCTAATATAGGTAATATGATCATAAGTGCATTTGCTTGTTAAAAAGTTTCAAACATTTTGTTAAAGATTATAACATCTTTGACAAAAACAAAACACAACACAAGTTTGTGAGTGTGTGCGAGTGTGGAGTACAGAACAAGTTCTGACGTTCAAACCAATCCTGTTAATTTTTCTGATTTGTATTTTTCTTTATTTTTTTTATCAATTTATTGTTCTGACAGCTCAGGCCCCTTTAAACAAGAAAATATACATCTTTTTGTGCACTTTATTTTTAAAAAGCCTATATATTTGGCAGATGTAAAGCATACACGTGTATGTTTTTTGTTAGTCCATTTTTTTTCACTGAATTTGCACCTTCAGTTCTGTTTTTTAATAAAGGATTGGAAATGAATGCTTTTTTTATCCGATTCATCGATTAATCGACAGATTAATCGATTATTAAAATAATCGTTAGTTGCAGCCCTACTATTATGTAGTGGTCTTTTGACAGCTGTAGGTCTGTGTTAAAACGACTGCATTTGTGTCTCAGTCGTCCGCCAGTCGGGCCAGAGTGCATTATGGGTGTTGAGGTTTCTGATAAAAGAGAAGACCTCAGGCCTCAGTCGTGTATTTATTAATAAATCACCGAGCCAGCATTGAATTCGCCTATAAGCGGAGAGGAGTTATAGAAGTGGAGTGAATCCAGATCACACAGTGTGAACAGGAGTCACTCCTCATCCGTTGTTTTTCAATAATTGAGTAATTACTGTGGGTAATAATGCACTGTAGTCACTGTCATTTGAGAAATACCATGATTGTTTTTAAACTAGTTCAGTTTTAAGTAATGAACTGCGTCAGCTGATATTAATTTGTCGTAACGTAGATCTTCCTTTAAATCAACAGAAGTATACTCTGAACATATCAGTCATATTCAGATATTATCCATCGGATGAGAACAGGACTGAGTGATGATGACGCTGCTTTATCTCAAACTGAACGTGTTTCGTTACTGATTGACTTGTTGTTGAACATTGGCAGTTATGGACGTGAATATGAATGTGAAGCTGTGTGTATGACAGATAATATCATGACTCGAGTCTCCTTCTCCTCAAACAGGTCTCGTGTGTTTGATCACAGAGAGCTGGTGTGTGTGTCTGTTGTGTTTGCTGTGCTAACAGTGTGTGTGTGTTGCTCCTGTGGAGTTTCATCATCATCATCATCATCAGTGAAAGCTGCCGGTCAGGGACAGGTGTGTGAGGAGACATGTCTAACACTGATCCTCCTGCAACCCAGTTCAACACACTGCTCCTCGTCACCTCTCTCTCTCTCTCTCTCTATCTCTCTCTCTCTCTCTCTCTCTCTCTCTCTCTCTCTCGCTCCTGACCCCACATGATGTCGTGTTGTTGCATCTCCAGATCTGATAAAGCTTCTCCACCACAGTTTCCTTTCACACACAGTGTTTGAAGAGTGAAGCGCAGGATAGAGCACCTCATCCTCACACACTACACAGAGTCTCGTCTCACACACTCACACACTTCACTGTATAAGACAGCAATCCTCAGGCCAGGTAAGACAGTTACAGGGATGTTCTTCTCATTCAGGCGTAACTTGATTAGGAGACCAATGAAGAGCCAAAGCAATGAGCAAAAGTCTGACTGAACCTCTGAGCTTCAACATAAACCCAAATGCCAAAGTCAGAGTGACGGAGAAGAAACACATCTAACACTAAACTACACCACACACATCCATCTAAACCTCACAGTTAATAACACACAGTGATGCCTGGTTCTCGTCTCAGTGTAAAATGTCATATATTCTGTAAGCGTCAGCCTGTATCATGCGGCACAGTTTTGGTGAACGCAGAATAGATGGGATATCTGAGTGTCACATGAGGTGTTCTTTGAGGAAGTAGGTGGATGTGTGTGTGTCGGAGAGAGACGTGCTCCCGAACCCTGATCATCATGTGATCTTTCTTACTTCCCATGTGAAACTGCAGCATGAAGGACATTAATATATCACAGAGACAACAGGAGTGCGGATAATAAAACATCAATAACCATATAATCATGTGTAGATTGCCCAGAGATGTAGAGCTACTTCACTACTGTACTTAAAGGAGTAGTGCACTTTAAAAAAAACGTTTGCTGATGTGTGGGTGATTTATTTACTCCCCCCGATGTCATCCAAGATGTCCACGTCTTTCTTTCTTCAGTTGAAAAGAAATTAAGGTTTTTGATGAAAACATTCCAGGATTTTCTCCATATAATGGACTTCAATGGGAACCAAACGGTTCAAGGTCCAAAAGACAGTTTCAGTGCAAACTGTTCAAAGGGCTTTAAACGACTCCAGACGATTAATAAGGGTCTTATCAAGCGAAACGATCGCTCATTTAATAAATAAATAACAAAAGTTTAAGTTTTATAAGCTCAAATGCTCGCCTTGCTCTGTTCTGTGTGACTCTCCTGTTCGAACTCGTTCATCAAAACGAATGAATCTTTTTCCGAGTTATTTCGTTCATTTTGTTCGTTGAATGAAGCAAAAAAGATTTGTTCGTTTTGATGAACGAGTTCGAACAGGAGAGTCACGAACGCGCTTTACTCGATATAATTAAATGTGAATTATATCGAATTATAAATGTGAATTATAAATGTGAATCATTCCAAACCCGTATCATCGTTGCCTGTTGCCTATTTGTTAACATTAGTTAATGCACTGTGAAATAACATTAACAGAACGGCTGTATTTTTATTAAATTAAGATTAATAAATACAGTGCCAAATGTATTGATGATGGTTAGTGTCATGATTCTCTGTGTGTTTCTGTTTGTGTGTGTGATAAAGAGTCCTGTAAGGACTGTGCCAATCCAATATTACAGTAGGAATAATCTCGATCACTAGGGCCACACATCCCTATATAGCTCATTTGTGATGGAAATTCATTCATTATGAATGAAATGCTTTACAAATGAATAATACCTCATCTTGTTTGACTTATTTGCTTGTTTTATCTGGATCTTGATGGACACTGGCGCATCATTTGATTCGCTCTGGTCATGTTTAATGGTATTACTGGTGTAGGGAATTGCATGTAAAGCCTAAAAACAGCATTTAATGAGCTGGTTGTTGGAGATTATCACTCATGAACTCTAAATGACTGACGTGTGTGTGTGTGTGTGTGTGTGTGTGCAGCATGGGTCGGCTCTCTCTCGATGGGCATGATCTTCTTCTGCTCTCCGATCGTCAGTGTGTTCACGGATCTGCTGGGATGCCGGATCACGGCTGTTGGAGGAGCTGCGGTCGGGATTGTGGGACTTCTGGCCAGTTCCTTCGTCACGTGAGTACATCATATTCCTCCTCCGTGTGAAACATGTTTGCTTTTTGTTGTTGCTAAGCAGTTACATTTGTGCTAGCATCACAAGTAACTGCAAGTAGATGTTACTCCTTCATTAGTCTCGCGTAGCCAGACCTTCAGACTGACGGCTGAAGGTCTGGAATTCATAGCAGCTTTCTTTGGTCAAGGCCCGCCCATAAGGCCGTTAGACCGACATGTCAAACAACCAATTACAGTTCATTTCGTTCAGCGTCATGTTTCGGGGCGTGGAAATGTCCCCACAACAACAGACCGGTGTGCAACAAGTCAGTCAGCAGTCACCGGAGGCGCTAACAACGCTCCGTGTTATTAAATTCACCCACGAACTCGCTCATGTCCATCTTATGTCCGCTTTGTCACACGAATGTAAGTTACGTCCCCGCCCCAGTGCGCTCACGCCTACTAAATAAACGCCTCACCTCCGGCGCCGCGCACTCGCTACATTCCCTTTAGCCTTGAGCACATCTAGTGGATGCATAACGCAAACCCAGTCAAACGTTTGACTCTGCAGTATCTTATGTGCCTTATAATCCAGTGTGCGCGACCTATATATGAATACTGAATCGGCCAGCTGCGATGTCAGCGTCTGTTTCATGTTTGTCCACAAACGCAGCTGATATACCCTTCGCAATTAAGTACTTCACTTGATCTTCCATAATAGATTGGAGGGGACATACAACTACGTTTAGCTGATCTTGAGAAATGCTCATTGTCACTCACATAGGCCACTCATATAAACACAACAGTTTTTCTTCCGCAATCACACATCTGCGCTTTGTTTCCCGGCGGACCGAAAATAACGCGACACTGACGCCCCCCGGAAATCCGATAAAATTCAACCAATCAGATGACGACTTCGACATTCCTGAAGTGTTTCCAGTTAAGTGTACCATATGCATCAGACGTTTAGCCAACGTTCCGTGGGCGTGACGTCTGAGGCTGAGACTACTCCTTCATTGGCGAGTGTAGTCATTGCTAGTGCTCAGCGCTATAAGCCAGATGAGGACAGCGGCATTGCCTCGTCTGTTCTCCACATTCTGCTGGATCTAGAGTCTGAACATGGACTGTCCTGCAGCACTCATATTCAACAATTATTTAATTATTGACACCATTATATGACAACCGAACTGATGATTACATCATTTTCATCATCAAATAAACTAATTTAATAATGGACGATCTTTACAACGGAACTGAATCAACACAGAACTGGTTTCTATGGTTTCTATGGTTTCTTCAGGGTTCTTTTTTTCCCCTTAGAATTGGCCTAATAAGTCGCAATTGCGACTATATCTCACAATTCTGAGAAAAGATGTCAGAATTTCGACATATAAACTCGCAATTATGTGATATAAAGTCAGAATTGCGAGATGTAAACTCGCAATTGTGAGAAAAAAAGTCACACTTCTGTCTTTTTTTCTCAGAATTGCGACTTTGTTTTACACAATTGCGACTTTATATCACGCAATTCTGAGAAATAAAGTCAGAATTGTGAGATATAAACTCGCAATTGTGAGAAAAAAAGTCAGAATTGTGAGATAAAAAGTCACAATTATTTATTATATTTTTTTATTCAGTGGCGGAAACAAGCTTCCATAGGTTTCAGCTGAACAATGAAATGTTTTCCTATTTAGCAGAATTGAACTGCGTCACTGAATCATTATTTTCCTGTTTTCACTGTGAAGTTGCTTTGAAAAAATCTGTATCGCATAAAGCGCTTTAAAACTAAAGGTGACTTGCTATGACACCACAAGGCTCTGTACTGGGCCCTCTTCTCTTTGGCTACGTTCACACTGCAGGCTGAAACGACCTGAGTCCGATTTTTTTTGCCCCTATGCGACCTGTATCTGATTTTTTCATGACAGTCTGAACGACACAGATCCGATCTTTTCAAATGCGACCCAGGCCACTTGGGTATGTGGTCCAAATCCGATATGGATTTCTGCAGACGTGTCTCTGCCCCGGTGTTGTGCCTGAACGCGTTCAATGAACGATAGTGCATGAATGCGTTCATATTTTGGGCGAACGTGACAGTTCAAGTTCGCCCAAAATAAACGTACTGTATTACTGCCTGATGAACATTACTGTGAACACGTTCATTCTGGTGCCTGTGAACGTGCGCTTTCTGTCAGTATAACTTTGTACAGTAGGGTGCCAGATTTCTATAGATTTCTAATGTAAACATGCCTTAAAATGTAGCGAAAAAACGCCCAATCTGGCAACACCAGCCACCAGTGTCACACCGCGGCTGCCGGCGACAAAGCAAGGAGCACAGCGGCCGCGCACTATCAATTAAACGGGTTTTATGACGAGGTCGGTGAGGATCGCAAAAATCGTACATTTATGTGCAAACTTTGCCCGTCGATAAAATAATTGTTGTCTGTGTTTGTATATGGGCTGTGGCAATAATAATAATAAAACAAGAGCTCGCAACATATGGAAAAAAAAGAACTATTCCCCAAACAAGTGACGTCGTTGACCGTTGATTACTCTTCTGCGCGTGCGGGTCACTTCTGGGTCACTTCACGTTCACATAGGAGATCACAAAAGGTCGCATTTAATTGGAAATGTGAACGGCCTTGCAAAAAAAAACGCATTTTTTCAAAAAATCGTATTTGAGCATTAAGCCCTGCAGTGTGAACGTAGCCTTTGCCTTCCTTTCCCTTGACCCAACGTGCATTACTTATCAAAGCTGGCGATTCTCTCTCTGTCTGCAGGTCTCTCGAGCCGCTGTACTTCACCTACGGCGTAGTCTTTGCATGCGGCTGCAGTTTTGCGTATCAGCCGAGTCTGGTGATCCTGGGTCACTACTTCAAGAAGAGACTGGGCCTGGTGAACGGCATCGTGACGGCGGGCAGCAGCGTGTTCACCATCACACTCCCGTACTTGATGTCAGCCCTGCTGGAGCGCGTGGGACTCCAACACACGCTTCGAGTGCTGGCCATCTTCATGTTCATCCTCATGCTGGCGGGACTCACCTACAAACCCCTCCTCCCCAAACCCGTCAGCAGCAGCAAGTCGGGCAGCCGGTGCCCCTCGCCCAGAAAGCTGTTTAACGTGCACATCTGGAAGTCTCTTGGATACCGCATATGGGCCTTTGGGATCCCTGCGGCGCTGTACGGGTACTATGTGCCTTACGTTCATCTGGTAAGTGTGCTGGATTTCTAGTTTCTGCCTTTGACTTCATAACGTCAATAGCTGCGATTCAGCTGGGAACGTCCTCCTGGGAATGTTTCGGATAGTTCACACAAATATGAGCACTCTGATCATATCTCATGCCGTTTCAAACCCACATGACTTTAGCCTGCAATACGCTACGCCACATTTGTACTGGATTTTACCTTGATTTATAGTCTGGACGAGTCATCGGCAGCTGGAGCAAGAGCTAGTCTGCAGATTTCACAAAAAAGGACACAATTTTTAGCTTCACAAATCCATTCAGAGACGAAGAGTTCGAGAGTTTGATATGTTCGGAACGACTTTAACATTTGGTAGTGTGTGATCCTCAGTCGTTTAGTGTGGGATGCCCCGTTTTAAAGGGTTAGTTCACCCAAAAATGAAAACTCTGTCAGTATTTACTCGCCCTCATGTTGTTCAACCCCGTAAGACCTTCGTTCATCTTCGCAACACAAATTAAGATATTTAAGATATTAAGATCGCTCCTGCATACTAGTCCATAGGCTTCTTGAGGGAATGACTCGAAAAGTCATTAAAGACATCGTTAAAATAGTCCAAGTGACTACAGGGGCTCAATCTTAACTTTATCAAACGACGAGAACACTTTTTGTGCGCAAAAACATTGGGGGATCGATCTTTTGCCATTGCTGCCCCCACCCTTTGGAACTCACTCCCTACATGCATTAGAAACTCTGTTTCACTATCAAATTTCAAAACAGCACTCAAAACTCATCTGTTCAAACTAGCATTTCCTTAGAACCTTTATTTTTTATTTTTATTTTTTGCTTTATTTTGTCCTTGTCCCATGTGAAGCGTCTTTGAGTGTCCAAAAAAGCGCTATACAAGTGTGATGTATTATTATTATTATTATTAAAAACAACAAAAATAACGACTTTATTTCAACTATTGGTTTATTTCTCCCTCTGCGCGAGTCAGGTTACTAGTTTAATAGCGTAAGCTTCTGTTATTGTACGTCACACGCATCACACACACATGACCAGCGTCGGCCAATAGTGAGCCTACGTGTGACGTAGCTTTACGCAATCACACTACGTTAACTGACTACAGGCCCATGGAGAAGGAAGTGAATAGTTGAAATAAAGTCGTTATTTTTGTTTGTTTTTGCGCACAAAAGTGTTCTCGTCGTTTGATAAAGTTAAGATTGAGCCCCTGACTAACCCTAACTGAAGCTTGCAAGACTCTTCATTCAGCATCATAGCAGCAGTTCACATGATTTATTCTTCTGAAGTCAAGCAATGCTGTGTGTGTGTGAGGAACAGACTGCACTACCTCTGTGTGTGTGTTGTCTACTGAAGCGTGAGATGTTTGGATGGCTCCTGCATGGATGGATGTTTGCGCTCTCAGGTTTATTGAAATAAAAGGTCAGTTTGATCTGAGGAGCGCGGGGTGTAGCTCTACACAAACACTAGCGCTGTTATTGTAGTATCTGCAGACGTGTTTGGCGCAGGTTAAGATGCCCTGCAGATTGTGGATGATGGGCAGCAGTGAAAGGGAAAGAGCTTGTTTATCCGCGGAGAGCTGGGAAACGGTCAGTTATGGTCAGCTCTTTCTGGGTGGAGGATCCTGCTGGGTTAGCGGAAGACAAACACACATCTCAGCGTGTCATTGTCATCTGACAGAGGCTGAGGAACACACTTGAACTGTTCACGTCAAAACAAAAACATGTTCCTCGGGGTTAGACGGCACTGGGGGTCCTCGCAGCGATCTCCGCTTCGCTCCTAACCGCACACGTCACTTCAGACTCACCTCGCTGTGTTTGCTTCATAGATTTTCTATTGACATTGTCTCTTGTATTCGTGGCCTAGTGGTTAGCACACAAGTTCTGAGGTGTGTGAGACTCAATGTTCAAATGATATTTCATTAACAAAGTTCGGGAGGAGCATGTTCAAATGATCTATCAACCGGGGGTTCGTGACCCCTAGAGGGTCGCAGCGGTATTGCAGGGGCTCCGCCAATTAATGTTTGATCACAAATCATTTTTTGTTAAAAATGAAAACATGGGTAAAATGAGAAAGCAAGAGCACCCTCGGTTGATACTGTAATAACATAATATTATTAGCGAACACTTTTTGAGCGTTGCGCTCAACTGGTGAAATGTTGCTGTTTTTGTAGCCGTGAGAAATGCAGCCAATCACAGACATGTTTGTTGATCTCTTAAACCCAATGTCCAATCAGAATGAAGGAAGTGATCAGGGACTTTGTTCGCCTTCACATCAACGTTACCAAAACTTGGTGACTGACTCCCGTAGGAAGGCCTCATATACTGTAGCGGTTAACACCTGGACACTGCGAGGGTTAACGTGTACTGTATTCAGGTGTTCATATAAACAACATTAGACTGGTTGGACAACATGAGTGCTCTGTATAGGAAGGGCCAAGGTCGCCTCCATTTGTTGAGGACACTGAGGTCCTTTGGGGTGTGTAGGACACTACTGAAAACTGTTTATGATACGAGAGTTGCATCTGTAATAGTTTATGCTGTGGTACGCACAGCATCTCTATCGTGGACTGGATCTGGTCTCAGTGGAGCAGGAGTGGTGCGAGGTGGATGTTGGCTAATCTATCGAACATCCTGAACAACCCCTGCCACCCCCTGTAGGAGACACAGCCTTAGGGACCTCTTTTCACGAGTTCATACATCATCAAATTAAACAGAGTAAAGATGATGGATATTTGACGCCGAGCTCTGAATATTTGCCCGAACCCAGAGTACCCCCGTTGTAAGAGTAGTGTTGGTAGCTTTTGTAGCAATTGACCTTCTCTTGCCTCTTTGTCTTTTTTATTGCTTTCTTTTCATTGATCCACTTGGTTGTGATCCTGATATAGACTGTGTGTAGATGAGGGATCCTGATCGAGAGTGTGTGTAGATGAGGGATCCTGACAGAGAGTGTGTGTATGAGGAAACCTCATGTCTCGTGATCGCACACAGATGCTGACAGTGTCGTTATGTTGCACTTCTGGATCTGCTGAGGTAAGCAGTCATGTGCTGAAGATCACGAAACGCAGATGAGCACTCTCAGCAGTCAGAGTCCATTCTGAATTATTTTATGATCCTGATCCGGCAGATAAAGGCCAGCGGTTCACAGAAGCTGTCGTCGTCATTCAGTGTGTGTGTGAAACTCCTTGGACTTGTTTCAGATCTAGTTTGCGACAGACCGACGCTGAGCTTTCCTGAAACACTGAAGGATTTTTCCCTTAAACTGTTTTTAAAGAACAACAGCCCGAAGGATGGATGACAGAGATGTTCAGGAGTGTAGCAGCGAGTCTGCAAGATTCACTTCTGAATGAGCAAAGTAAAGATACACTGTCAATTTAATACACTTGTGTTAACCCGCTCAATCTATGTGTGTGTGTGCGCGTGAGTGTGTGTGTGTGTGTGTGTGTGTGTGTGTATATGCATTTCTCTGGCGGGTGGGCCGCTCCTCTCTCAGTCTTCAGATTGGTGTGTTTCTGGAGGAGGACTCGAACGCCCACATCTGGCCCATGTGTTACACATCCTCCTGTACCAATCAACCTCTGGATCTGATCTACGCCTGTGTTTTCACACTGAAGTGTGTGTGTGTGTGTGTGTGTGGACTGGAGGGCATGCAGCAGTAAATATGAATTATGTGCATTCATGATAAATTACTGAGTGGTGTAACTCTCTCTCACACACACACACACACACACACACACACATGTTGCAGGAAGCAGGTTCAGGTGTCTGTTTGCACTGCTGAAACAGAACAGTCCCTAAAACAGGCCTCTTTTCCTCCCTGTTCATTCGAAATGAATTCCTGTCCACACACACACACACACACACACAGTATGAGTTATAAGCGGTTTTCCTCATGGGGACCACAAAATGTCCGCAGAAGGTTGAGTATGTGGGATATACTGAATTAGTGTATCAGTGGAGACCAGTAACACTGTTCTCAGATCTGAGACTCTCTCTCTGACATATTCACAGCAGAAACAAACACTTTTATGTCAATATTTTTTCAAATGTAATTTATTCCTGTGATCAAAGCTGAATTTTCAGCATCATTATCATTCAAAAATCAGCATAACTGTTCTCATAACTGTTCATAACTGAAAATTCAGCTTTGATCACTGAAATACATTACATTTTACTGTATATTCACATAGAAAACAGATAATTACACTGGAGTAATATTTCACTGTTTTACTATAACGGGATTTTACCGTCAATAGAGGGGATCGAGTTAAATGCACATGAACTAAATGAGAAACAGCTGTGATGATTAAATGAATTTCCATGGTAACGGATTATGGCGGGAAAAGGAGAGCAAAGGAAAATGGGCACTGGTGATTAAACAGGCCTCGTCCACACTACTGCGTTTTCGTTTAAAAACGGAGAATTAAAACGAATACGATCTCCGTCCACACCAGCGTTTTGTCTGCGTATTAGAAATGATGTCTGTCCACATTAAAACGACTGAAAACACAGATTACGTGACCATTCACCAGCACTGGGCATGCACGCGCCGGTGTAAACAGTGGTTGGCGAATCAGGGAAGGGCACGTCATGACTGATAACACCCAATCATAGAGCCGAGCGTCAGCCTCTGCGTCAGCGTTTCTGAAGTCCTCCGTTTTGTCTCGTCCACACTAAAACGCCTTCCGGAGATTCAAAATGAAAAACGCAGCTGTAGCGTTTCTAAACTTCTTCGTTTTAGGTCTTCGTTTTTCCCGTTTTAGTGTGGACAGGAGGTGCAAACGTAGCAAAAGGTCTCCGTTTTTAAACGAAAACGCAGTAGTGTGGACGGGGCCTGATAGACAATGAAACCAAAAATCAGCAGAACTGTGGCAGTAGTGTGTATTATTCTCAGTAGTGTGTATTATTCTCAACTACCAAACTATTTTATTGTTGTTTGGAAAAAAAGTGCATTTGATGTTGATTTCGAGGTAAAGGTCTGAGTAAAACACACAGTAGGCTAAGTGATGTTGCAGTGTCAGCTAAGTGTCAGTTTTCTGCAGGATCGTCTGTTCTGAAACCGCAGACCTGCTGTCAGTCATTCATAAGCAGAGATGTGTCAGTCTCAGTTAACTCAGTATAATCAAACTCAATATCACACAGTCTGTGGGAAACTTAATGGCCAAGTGAATATTTTATTCAATGATTAAACCGTGTTGTGTATTTGAATGCAGATGTGTTCACACTGTGTGTGTGTGTGTGTGTTCACGATCAGATGAAGCATGTGGAGGAGCGCTTCGGAGAGGACGCTAATAAAGAGGTCCTGCTGACGTGTCTCGGCATCACGTCCGGCGTGGGGCGCCTCATCTTCGGCAGAGTGGCGGACTATGTGCCCGGGGTCAACAAAGTCTTCCTGCAGGTGAGAGAGAGTTCAACACTCGCCTGACCTCCCCATGCTGTCAGATACTGATCCACTCAGGAGGCGGTGATTAATTAAACACAACGAATTATAATTAATCAGGAATATACATCATATGCAGACAGGCTATGTTAATTTCCAGAATACTTTTGTCCGCCGAACTGCTTTGTTTGATACTCAATCAATATCAATTCTCAAGAAGGTTTCTTCTTAGTATAAGTTTACTAATCAAAGTAGTTTATTTGACAAAATCAGCTCGTAGCTTCAGATCTTGTGTGTGGACGTCCTCGCTGCTCGTGGGATGGTTTCGGTTCGTCCAGAGCGTGTTTTGCTTGCGGGATACGCTGTAGAGGAGAGTGCTTTCACCCGGAGGATATAGGACTAAAACGTAAAGTGCGGAGTTCAGTTTGGAGACGAGAACTGAGAAAAAGACTGAGCTAAACGCAAAATAAACCAAAGAGACCAAAACAACAAGACAAGCCGAAGGAAACACGAACAGAAGAGTGACACGAAGAAGAGAGCGAGAGACCAGGGTCACGATCTTTTAATGTGAAAGTTCACGCCCCTTTTAGGAGAACAAACCAATCGCGCCTCACAGGTTAAGTTTGGACATTTCCCTTTGAAGGTGGAAAAACATAGTGGACTACTTTTTACAGTGACCTCTTACATATATTTGGCTCGGGCAAGTCGAGATGTTTCGTTTGAGACCAATGAGTTTGTGTTTGGTATGCACACAAGGATAGATATACTCTCAGATTTCCTTATAGAAGCCCTTAGAGGTCAACTACACAACTAAATATCCTAGCTACAACAGTATAAAACTCAAACACACAGGAATACATCATATATACATTTCAGAATCACTCAGTTCTGGGTTTTAATGTTAGGAATGCATCTGTGTGTGTGTGTGTGTGTGTGTGTGTCTGGCTTTCCTCCCTCGCCGAGGAGGGTTTGGCGATAACGGTGTTTGATGTTACCTCACGGATGGATCGGGATGGTACGAGGATCTCTGGAGAGTATGGGTTATGCTGTTAAGGTGTCACTAGCTGGCGCTGCGGGTGATTTAGGTTGGATGAGTCAGACGGTGTGGGCTTGAGAAACTTCAGTGAATTCATGATTCTTCATTCATACTCTACATCTATATCGCTAATGTTGCCCTTCATGACGACTGTGAGCGGGTGAATTTTTACTTTAAACTCGTCTGTTTAAATTATATTACGCCTTAAAGTTGTGCATAATAAAGGGCGTGGCCACTTGAGTGACAGGTGATAGCTGTTTGTCTGCTGTGTGTTAGCGTCACGTCACCTCAGCTAATCCGCCTCGCTGCTCATTTCCGCTTATCTGAGAGTGACGCTGCCAAGATGGCGACGGGCGGATCCGCCCACTTTGGGCTTCAGAAACACTACGGGTGATGCCACACACACTACGCCCATATGTTTTTCCAGTCTGTGATTCACACCAGTAACCCCTGAGATCAAAAATGCTTTATTCTCAGCCTGTTTCCGCCATCAGAAGTGAGCTACGGCCAGTCAGATAACACTTGAGCGCTTTGCAGAAGCTGTCCCCTGTCGTCAGCTGTGCGGTGTCTCCGCAGGTGTCCTCCTTCATGGTGATCGGGGTGATGTCCATGATGATTCCTCTGTGCCACGTGTTCGGCGGGCTGATCGCCGTCTGTCTGCTCATGGGTCTGTTCGACGGCTGCTTCATCTGCATCATGGCTCCCATCGCCTTTGAGCTGGTCGGCTCCCAGAACGTGTCGCAGGCCATCGGCTGCCTCCTGGGCATGATGTCCATCCCGATGACCGTCGGGCCGCCCATCGCAGGTACTGTGTGTGTGTGTGGAGCGTCCTGCAGTGAATCCATCTGGATCAGGGAGCCCAGTCCTGCTCAAACAGGGCATTAAAGCCATGATCACTGGAAGATCTTCATCATTGGGTCTGCTGTGTGTGATGATCAAGTGTTGAAGATCTTCATCATTGGGTCTGCTGTGTTGGAACAGGACTGGGCTCCCCTGATCTAGAGAAATAAAGGTGAACTGACTGAAGTGTGATCATTGTCTGCCACCTGTTGGCTGGAGTAGGTACTGCATCACTGTGGTAGATTTACATTTATGCATTACTAGAGTCTGAGCATGTGATGGCACCATAACTTTACAAATAAAATGCCAATTAAACAGGTTAATAAAGTGAGATTCTTAGCTCGTGTGCAGGAATTTTGAAAGGTTACTCGGAGGTCCTTAAAAATACTGACATAAAAGTTTGAAGCTTGAAAATTGAAAATGAAAATGAAAATTCTGTCAGTATTTCCTCACCCTCATGTTGTTCAACCCCGTAAGACCTTCGTTCATCTTCGGAACACAAATTAAGATAATATTTAAGATATTAAGATCGCTCCTGCATACTAGTCCATAGGCTTCTTGAGGGAATGACTCGAAAAGTCATTAAAGACATCGTTAAAATAGTCCAAGTGACTACAGGGGCTCAATCTTAACTTTATCAAACGACGAGAACACTTTTTGTGCGCAAAAACAACAAAAATAACGACTTTATTTCAACTATTGGTTTATTTCTCCCTCTGCGCGAGTCAGGTTACTAGTTTAATAGCGTAAGCTTCTGTTATTGTACGTCACACGCATCACACACATGACCAGCGTCGGCCAATAGTGAGCCTACGTGTGACGTAGCTTTACGCAATCACACTACGTTAACTGACTACAGGCCCATGGAGAAGGAAGTGAATAGTTGAAATAAAGTCGTTATTTTTGTTGTTTTTTTGCGCACAAAAGTGTTCTCGTCGTTTGATAAAGTTAAGATTGAGCCGCTGTAGTCACTTGGACTATTTTAACGATGTCTTTAATGACTTTTTGGTGATATTTATATATACAGTAATAACGTTAAGTCAACGGCGTTCATAAACACGCTGAAAAGCGATTATGCGTCTTGATAACACGCCAAAAATGGAAATACGAATTGGCGTGTCATACACACGCTACTTCATGAGATCAGTCTGGATCGGTCGTGCTTTTATCCTTTCTTGGTCATGACGTCACACGCCCTTGACGCTCATTCCCGCCATTGGACTAGTTGACTCATGTGCTTCAGACGCTATCACACAGGGGCGTTCCAAGAGCGTCATTAATGCAGCGCCTCGTTCCCTACTCAGGGAACCAGGTGTTACAGTCGTAACTTGAGACGTTTTCGTTGCATTTACACAGTTTTGACCAGCAGGTGTCCAGCATTTGGAAACTATTGGTTCAGATTTCTCCCATCACTACTGGTTCATGACTTCGCAGAGATCATCGCCAAATTTAGAAACAGTTATGAAGTAACAAAGCCTTGTTGGTTGAAATCACATGACGAAGCGGCCATCACTAGTGCCGTAAATGCCACAGATTTGTAAGCAGTGATACGGAGCACAAGCCGTATGTTCAGAGCTGATCTGAGGTCTGTGTGTGACTCTGTACGCAGGGTTCCTGAGAGACCGGCTGGGCAACTATGACGTGGCGTTTTACCTGGCGGGTATTCCTCCGCTCATCGGCGGGGCCGTGCTGTGTGTGATCCCGTGGGTGGAGGCCCGGAGGAAGAAGGAGGCCGACGCCACAGCCGAAACCACGGAGAACATGCTGGAGCACAAGAGCCACACGGACGCCAAGAACCAAGACCCCGAATCTGTCATCTGAGAAACATTCACAGCACAGAGACTGACCGATGTGTGTGTTCAGGAGAACATGCTGCAGCACAAGAGCCACACTGACGTCAAAAACCAAGACCCCGAATCTGTCATCTGAGAAATATTCACAGCGCAGAGACTGATGTTTGTTCAGATGTGTGTGTGTGTGCTATGTAATTTTATATCCGTCTATATGAATGTGATTCTTGAGCTATGCATCTCTCAGAAAAATATTTTTGTACTGAACTTTTAGGGTTTAAAGGGGAAATGGTGTAGCGTGAACAATCAAAGAAGGGAAGCCCTGAAACCTTCACCATGAGGAGATTCATGGGATCTTATATTAACCAGTTAGAAAGTATTGGTATGTTTCCGTTGTTCTTATACTCGAGCTTGTTTTACGTCAGACTATAATGAGAAACTCGTATGATTGTTTTAATTGGGAAAGTTAGCCATATGTCTTAATTTCTTCCTGTACTGGAAAGATTCGAAGGATGTTTATGCAGATGAGCGCTTTATTAGAGCAGACGTCGTGCGTTATATGCAATTATATAAGGGATATATCCTCTGAGGAAACATTAATGCTGTTTTAACGTGTAGAGCAGACAGAAATGATGTAGTTTGATGAATCCCAGTGTTTTTCTCGGGTTTGTAGCTTTACCAACCAGGGCAGATATCAGCATATTAGTATAATAATGAACTGGGATTGTTTGCTATGCAATGAGGTTGCATTGATTTTTCTTTAACAATGTTCAACAAGACAATAGTGTTGATTGGTTAGATTGAGCCAAGCTGCCATTGTGATCTCAGAGTTTCCCCTTTATTTCGACTGCATGACTGAAAAACAGCACTTCCGCAGAGGCGTTTTATTTGGTATGAATGTCTGAGTCTCATGCATGATGGGTATGGCTGCGTGTAATCAGATGATCCATAGGGGTGTTATTCTGGTCCAGTGATCTACCTCGATTGACATTCGTCCTCATATGTTCCTCTGAGGATCATAAACTCACCAAGTGCCCGTGCCACTTATCCCACATCACATGTTTTTATGAGTATTACTAATTGTGTCACATATGTATTGCCACAATCTTCGTTAGTGCCTTGGGAATGTGATTATTGGACAGAGATGAAGTATTGATTTGACAATGAACTTGTTATATTCGTTCCAGTTGAAGACTAACCCTAACCTGAACATTTCAGAGGAAAAGCTTGATCTTTTCCGAGCGTCTCTTAACACTTGATTGGTTTATTCATTTTGGTATTGAAACCATTTCCATGTTTTTGGGAAGATTTTTTTTACTTTTTGTACATGATCATTTTTGTACTTGTTTTATTTATGCTGTTGACGTAAATCACTGTTGCACGCCAAACCAGAGAAAGTTCTGCTTCGTGTAACCTCATATTCTGCGATGAGCGCTGCAGTGATTTACTCGGGGTTATAATACATGTAAAATAACTTGTAAAGTTTCTCCAGACCTCAGCTAAACACCAATATTACTGACTTCAGTTCTTGAGGACTTTATTGAAATCTTATTGTCCATTTATCTGTGATTGTAACATTTAAAAGTAAAGCAAAATATACCGTTGCACTTACAGTGTACTTACCAAAGTTAGTATGTAGTTATTGTAATGATTATAGTTCGTACACGTGTACATGCGGAACAGGACTGTAAAATAAAGTGCTTTCATAACAAACTGTCAGTACCATGAACTGTTTTTCCAGATGGTTGAACACATATTATGATTCTGCAGCTTCGTTTTAGTGACCTTATGACTTGCATGATTTTACCTTCTGTTATTTCTTGTTGTATGTACAACACACTTGCGATAAATGAATACAACAATAAAGAAAACATTATTGGTTTTATTAATGAAATGGTTTTCAGATAATCGTTTTTTTTTACACAATTTTATTTGCTAAAATCAACGTTTTTATTCATAAATATGTCCTCATTGGTGTAAGATAACCTCTGCCAATGATCAGATTTCTTATAATCAATAAAGCTATTAATACAAATTGTTCTTCTTGTAAACAGCACTCAGAGACACTATACGTTTATTCTGGCTTTGCCATTATAATTATTATGGAAATATTTCTTCTAATACGTGTATATTTAGATTTTTTTTTTTTTAACAAAATGTAATATACACAAATATCAGAAAGCACTTTGTTTTGTTCGCTGAAGTTATTTTGGGACTCTTTCTAACTCGTGGATAGTCTCTAAACAGTCGAAATAAACCCCTGTGTTTTACAGTCCCACTGTGTTTGACCTTTTTGTCTTGTTTTTCTGGTTTGTTTCGGCTGTGTTGTGACTGCTTCTGTCTTTGTACATGTAATGTTTTTATTGAATTAAACAGATCTCGGAGGGATTGGTCAGTGGAGATCTCTAATGTTTATACAGCTCACTGCAAACACTGACAGATCCAGTTCATTACCATATTACAATATTCATTCATCAATAAAACTGAAGCCCTTCAGAAACAATAGACATCACATTTACTAGATTATAATAATCTGTTTCTCATGAATAAGACAAACACATATGAATGTGATGTATATTGAAAGAGATGTGGCACTGGAGTGTACATTAATTACAAAATGTTTCAGAAATAATAAAATTGTAACTCAAAAAAATGAAAGAAGTGGAAAGGATTGAATAGAAATAAAGATTAGCAGATAAAAGCAAGGTTTAGAGATTGAGGAAGTCGTGATGTCACACACTATACAGTAGGAGGCGCTAATCATTCTTGACTGAAGAATTAAACTGAATGAAGAAGAAGAGAGATGGGCGGGGTTTATCTGTTGTCGACCTCTGCGCATGCGCGTTCTCAGCAGAAACCGAAAGTAAAGAAGATCTTCAGGTAATTATGCGAATTCATCTTCAGAAGTCTTGAAGCTCATAAATATCACATTACGGTAAGTTCATCAATCTTCTGATGTTTTCGCATTCGCGTCGCTATCATATTAAACTCGATCCGTAAATATTAGGACTTTAGGTTTCCCAGACCTACACACAAACACACACACAAACACACGTGGTGAAAGGTGTTTATGAAGGAGTGTGTTGTAGGGGGTCTGGGGCTTCATGCCCCATGAGAACATTTTTATCATTTTAACATGTGAATGAAGCATCACTGGTGCATTCTGACAACAAAACATTTTTCTTCAACATATTTCCTACAGTAAAAAAACAATTTGATTCCATGATATTGATTAAGTTGCGGCCCAATACTAAATATCTCTCGACTAATGCTGTAAAGTAAACCTCAAGGAACCCCAGCTGGGACATCATTCTAATATCAAAGGTTCAAAGTGATTTATTTGTAAGCTATTTCCATTTAAATCGCACATAATGAAGTTTTTATTAATGTTATAATGTTTTTATTCTCATCAGCTTTTACATGCTTAAATCTGCATATTTGTGATTTTAAACCTTACTAAATATATGTGTTATCGTTCATATCATATTCGTACAGTTGATTAAAGTTTTAATAATAAGGGCCGTTATCAATCAAATTAAATAATTTACACTGCCAAATTACAAGTGTAACTTTTTTTTTATATTGGGATAATTTTGTTGTAATTGCACAAGATTGTTTTTAATACATGATTTTTAATTTAATTTATAATAAAATCATTTCACAGGTAATCTCCAAAATAATGTAAAAAGATATATATGACTTATATATTTTTTAATATTATATTATATTTAAAATCATTGTTTAATGGCATCTTTTAATGATTGAAGCCATATCACTGATACCGAATGTCTTCGAGAGAGTGAGTGAGAGAGAGAGAGTGAGAGAGAGAGAGTGAGAGAGAGAGAGAGAGAGCCCTGCCTAGCGCACTCACACCATCTTCATCTTCAGACTAAGCTGTTTTGATCTCTCCCTTCGCACATATTAATCAAACTCAGTTGACGCAATGGTAAAAGGTCAGAAGACCGAAGTTTCAATTTTTTTTTTAATAAACTACACTTATACAGCATTTATTAATATTTGTTAATGTTTATTTCACCATATAGTTGCCTACATTATTGAAATCAGTTGTATTTGTTACAGTAAGCTACATTAACTAATGTTAAGTAACATTAACAAACAATGAATGGCTGCATTTTTATTAACTAAAATTAACAAAGATTAATAAATACAGTATTGCTCATGGTTAGTTCAAGACGAATTCTTTGCCAAGCTGCGACAAAAACCATGAGCTAACATCCTAGATAGTCAATGTTAGCTAGCTCAACCTAAATAGTGTTAACATTAGCTAGCTTTGTTTGTGGCATAAAAGTCAGAGCCACTTCATACCCACAACTTGCACTACAGGTCATGATAAACAAATGTCTGTTGTTGTCCAAAATAATAATTCTTAATTCACGAGTTCACACTTGCATGTGTAAGTGTTTAGGACTGGAAGTGTGGAGAAGGGATGCTGCTAAACTATCACTGGAGTGAGGTGAGGTGAGATTGCTGAATCCATACACACCTCTTATCATTGATTACTGAGTGCACTCCAGTCGTGTTAATAACTGAACATGAACATGAACTGAACAATAACATTAACTGAACATGCTCCTGCTGAACTGTGTTAATAAAACATCATTTAAATTTGAGTTCTGAATTTGATTCTTTCTTTTCGTTTCTGAAGAGAAGCGCATGTCGAAGCAACTATCTTACACAAACAAAGATTAAACCGATGGATAATAATCAACATCATAGCTCTAACTAGACTTAATCGATGTTATGGGAGCTCGATTGAGTGAAATGTTGATGCTTTTTAAGGACATGATGGAACAGAAGTCTTACCTCGAGTTCACCGTAACTGCGCAGGATCAAAAGGGATGATTGCAAGTCAGGCGTTGAGTTTTATCTCACCGACCCACAGTCCTGCAGACGTCACTCCAGTGATGAGCTGAGCATGAGGGCTTGCTGCAGGAACCGTTGAAATCGGCTTCATACTGGTAAAAAGGGTCTGAGCCGAGCGCCCAGAGTTTATTAAGCCCTCACCCGTCAATTAGAGATGGAAAAAAGATTGAAAATCAAAGCTGGCCAGTAAAATTAAATGCAGACTCAATATGTTGCTAACAAGACCTTATTGCACATGTAGGTTCCCGTCCCATCCCAAATAAACACAGGATTATAGTCTACATCTTAAAAATGATGTTGTCTGATAGGAAAGTATTTTGGCCAGTATTTTGTTTACCCATCAATGATAGATGAGCAAAAAGTAACCAAAGTTGTATGTGCGGTCTCTGCCTGCAGGTGTCAAGATCACGACTCAGCCGATGGGTTTTTTAATTTAGAGCAGTGCAATAAATTCATGGATTTCTTCACATCAAAAACTGCACATATTCGCTCTGCCCAAACCCAAACTGTTCCCCCAATAATTACCGTCTCTCAACCCCTAAACCGCTTTCCTGAGGTTTCATCAGAAGAGATGCAGAACATCATCAGGAAGATGAAATCCTCCACCTGTCCTCTGGACCAAAGCCGGAGGTTTCTGTTTTCACTGAACGTACAGGAGTAATAATGTTGATTTGTTCTCTTGTGTTTCCATATGCAGGTCTGAAGTCAGTTTCTCATGATGGAGAACAGAGAGAGATCTTCATCTCCAGACCCCAGCTGTGTGTCTATGAAGAGTGACAGATCCATGGGTCATCCTCCTAATATCAGTGATGAAGCAGTGACCTCTGACCCCAGCTGTGTGTCTATGAAGAGTGACGCATCCATGGGTCATCCTCCTAAATTCAGTGATGAAGCAGTGACCTCTGACCCCAGGTGAGTGTAAACATAGAGTGGGTCATGTAACTGCTCTATAAGACTCAGAAACACACTGAATTCACGCAGAGAGATGAGATTTTTAATAGGGTTGCAACAAATTATTATTTTGATAATGGTTTGATTTGTCGATTACTTTTTCGATTAGTCAGGCGAAGAAGCAAATACATCCATTTCATATGATTTCTTAAAAATGTATATTTTTATTTTATTTAATTTTCATCCATTATGTTAGGAATAATTGACTCTGGTCCGTTGAATTATTAGAAAGAAAACAAATACTACTAAATTACTACAACGGACACCACAATTCTCAATATAATATTGAACCGCTTATCCACGGTTCAATTCACGCTTGTAAATTGCGTTTTTTTGGTTTTATGTTAAAATAATTTATGTGCATTTTATTTCTCTATGAATTGACGGTTTGTGTGTGCGTGTATGTCTACGAGCGAAGATGAGGAAACCCCCCGCGAGTAAATATTCAATCACTGTGCTCTAAAGTTAGCGGTCGCGCGGCTTAACCATCGTTCCACACTTTAACATGGCGAGCGGTGAAGTGAGGCTACAGTACGGGGACGCGCCGGCTCTTTCAAACCCGTGGTGTGGGGACATATCGGTTTTGCCGTTGAGTATAATGCCGAGGAACAAAAAACGGTGAACAAAAAAATGACTGTGTGCAAGCGTTGTTTTACACGAGCCTACTCAAACGGAAACACCTCCAACATGACTGCACATCTGCGCATAGGCGGAAATCACGGGGGGTCGGGGGGTCAGGACCCCCCCTATCTGAGGGTTGTCCCCCGCAAAAAAAACATTAAAATATGTGTATTGTAAATAATGTAATGATATATTCTTAAAATAATTAAGAAATAAAATAACACAAATGCAAACGGGGCAATATCGAAAAAAGCGTTCTAAACATTTTTGAGACCCCCCTCCCTTGCCTCACAGTGCATTGGTCCACTGCCTCCGTCCCTTTTACCTCAGACGCCTCCGTCCCTCAGACACACACATTCGGTGGGCCGGAGAGAAAAAACATAGTTTTTGAGTAGTTGTGGAACTCCAGTAAAGGGGTCGAAGAAGCGTCGCGTCGCGCAGCGCCACGTCTTTAAAATTCGAACACATTATTCTCTATGAGTGTACACACACCAGGGCGCCGTTCCGGCATCTGTCCGCGGCGCCAGCAACGGCTCAGTCAGGACCGTGTTCAAAACCCTGCTGCGCCACAGAGCGCCATTTACATAGTTTTATATACAATTTAAATTATTTGTTTTGTCTCAAATCGGTGCTGACGGATCCTGACTTCGCCCTATGCTGCAATAATGCATTTAGTTTTGCATTTATTTACAGAAATCAGCTGCTTTTTGCTGGTGTTATTGGATTTTTCAGGTTAGATTCTCAATTCATTCAGTAAACGGATGCTCTGAGGTAAAGTTTTTCAGATGCAAACTCAGCAACGATTATATTTAATTGTACAGTACAATTAATAACTTAGAAAACAGACATTATCTTCATGTCATTAAACATTACAATATTGCTGGCCATACACTGATGAGAAAGTCCCGGGTGCCGCTGTGCATTTATATTGT